CTATGTCAAAGCTGGTATGTTCTGTTGGCATGTCCGGTAAGATTACTGTGGTCAGCATGTTTCTTAAGAGATGTTTCACATACTTGCAAAGTGTAATTACACATAGAAGGGTGAAAATCGTTGCAGTAGGTAGTTATGCGCATGAATCTAAAGAAAGTATGCCACGTTCTTTTATCCTTGGAATTAGGTTTTTTTTTTCTTTATACGAGATTTTAATCGATCAAGTTCTATTAACGATTCCAAACATATTTTCCCAAAATCCAAACGCGAAAATCCAGAAATATTGCCACTCGCTTTATAGACTTTATATTGGAGTATATATATATATATATGTATATACGAAACGATAAGAAAAGTGAAACGAATAAATTCGTCGTTTCTCATCTTACTCGATGGTGTCTCGTACTCAACGCGGAAGCCAAAATCGAGGTCTTCTTTTTCCATAGGGGAAATACGACATTTCGAAAGGCCGTATTTTCTATAGGAAAGATCCGCTGCTATTCGCGCGTTATTACAGCTCTAGGAGGCAAGATTCACTCGCTCGAACATATGCGGCCAAGCTCCAGTCTTTCCCTTATCCCTCTTTTACACATACCCACCCCACCGTGCTTCAACGTTGGTTCATGTATTTATGCATTTCCTACCATCACAACCACCACCACCACCACCACTACCACCACTACAACCACCCGACTCTATTATTTCTTTTCTTGAATCTTTACTCTAATACTTCGACACGTTTAAACATCTACGTGTATCTCACTTGAGGCATTGCGACGTCAATGATCGGCTTTGTGTGTCGTACGAGAGATTGTCTTCACGGTTTGAGAAAAAGGGGGACGTTAATAGACTGGAATGAAGGACGCGTGGAGGAGTTCATTGGAAAAACTATTCTTGTTAACGCTGTAAATAATAATCGGTAGTTAACCGTAGTAGCATTATCTTCTTTTTCATCTTGCGAACAACTCGATGCAACCAAGATATAGAGCTATGTCCTGTCAAGAAAGGAAAAGTTTATAATTAGAAGCTTCAATAAATATATAGTTTTATATATATTATGGTGGTACACATATATATATAGTGGATGTTGTTTTTCTTCTTTTTCCTATGATAAAATATCGATCGGGGGGTGGGGAATTGAGGTGCTTCGGCTAAAGCGTTAATAAAATGGAAAAGAAATGATTTTGACCGGGTTTTTTTCCCCCTTACCCCGTGTTACACCTGGCCACGTTAGCTTTCATTATTCAAGAGTCATATTTACTCATTGGATTCAATTCGGATTCACTTATGGTATGATTTACTGAAGGAAGAGGCGTACCTGGAACACCCGGTGATGGGAATTTATCGGGGGATGGAGGCGGCCACCCCTAAAAGCGAACGCGTATAAGGAAAACAGAGATAGACTTTCTAGAATAGGAGGGAGTGCAATGGAAACGGCGGACAACGAAGGGAGAAGAAGATAAAGGGCGCGTCCTTTCCTCATATTCTATATTCCGTATGCTGGCTCATGAAAGTCCTAGGGATACCTTCCGAAATTCAAATTTACAGCACGTGCTATACTCGAGTGACTCTAGTTGCATGACGATGCATATTAAGTTCGACCAATAAGTTTGATCTACGAAGAGAAATGATTAAAATCTTATTTCTAATGTATCCAATGAAACTATCTTTTATTATCGTCGATTAACGCATCGCTAAAAGGATTCTCGCGACGAATGGAAACGTGTTCACGATTCATGCGATAATTGAAACGTGGTAACGTTTATCCAAGGATATTAAATTTCAATCCACCCTCTTTACAAATAGTGATAGATATAAATAATCAGATGACATATCGCGATACTTTTGAACGTACATTATCGATAAATCATACTGGCAATAATTGTATTCGAAATAATATAATATAGTTACGACTATTGGAGAAAAAAAAATGAAAAAAGGGAAAAAAGAAAAAGCTTCTCATATCAATAGAAATCTTATCGATATCCATTGGCCGATTTTGCTGATTCTATATTCGGACCCTTTCCGCTTTAAAATTTACTGGAAAACTTTTCTCCGGTCTTAAGCGTAGCTTCGTACCTCTTTTCTTTTCTTTTTTTTTTCTTTTTCTTTCTTTTTTTATGATCGAGATATTATTTCACTATTTCCTTGTCATAAACTTCGATTGTTTCTATACGAGTCTACCGTGTGTCTCTTGATGAAAATTCAATCAAAAAAAAGTTCTTCGTTTTTCTTTAAGTTTCTATACGCGCGTTGAAAGATAAGGTTACACATACGAAAAAGGAAAGCTTGGTAGGAAAACAGGGAAAACCATTATGCTGATGTCTCAACATGTTACTCACCGTGGTACGGTGTCTTGGCCTCTGAATTTGTGACACTCCCCTTTTTGCTACTCCACGCATTTTCGACAATGAAATGGCCATAACCATATACTGCGGGCTTTTTTGAGATATACGACGATGTTCTGCAGGAGAACGAGGTATCTTATTTTTGTATATCACTTGCGTATGTATGGCATACATGAAACATCGTCACATCCCACGGGTCAACTTCTTCAAGGCGTCTTTACTCTGGCGTGACGGTATTTATGTTGCTATTTTTTGATCAGAAAGCTTACGTTTCATTTATCGTGGATGGTTTAGAAATTGAATGATTATAAAGTATCAAAATAAATGAAAATATTAATAATTTTTAATTAGGAATAAAAAATGAAATGGTAATTTAAAGTATTTTAAAATTAAACAAAATTACAAATTTAAATAAAAAGAATAAATTTATATAAATAGGAAAAAATGTAAGTAGTAAAATTAAATAAAATTAAATTCATAACTATAAATGGTATGTATATTATATAGTATACTTATTTGATTTTATTACACAAAGTAAAAAAAATTAATAATTAAATTAAATTCTTTCATGATATTTATAATTAAACTATACGATTATAAATTTAATATCATAGCGTATTCTTATGAGTGAATTGTGACATCATGACTATTCACCGAGATATTAGTTTGTGATACAAGTTACGTGACAAACTCTATACAATCTTAACTATGTTCAAGCTAAACTTTGAAGAAGTATAAAAATATCTCGGAAGAACTTATGGTCACTGAAAATAGATCGAGAAATAAAGAAAGGTTGGTGTTTTCATTTATATGTCCTTGGAATAAATAGTCGTAGCTTGATCAAGAGCAAGGGGGTTGGTTGGTGGTGGTGGTGGTGGTGGTAGGGGGGTGGCGGTGTTGAGAGGGTAGAAGAGAGTGCAGAGAAGAGTTCGATGCTAGCAGGGATCGCTGGCAGGGTAAAAGGTGGAGACATACCCTCCCCTGATTCCCTACGAACCCGAACATGAATTAAAGTTTTAATTTCTCTAAATCACTGTTCGCCCTTGAGCGCTTTCCACCAGACGGTCCGTTACTTATAGCTTTTGCCCTTTTACCGCTTACTCTCACCCCTTCCCACCCTCGTAGCTCTCTTTTTTCTCGTTTTGCTTCGATCTTACCACCGTCCGACCCTCTTAAATCGAAGGAAATCGATATGCACTTATCCGATGACTCTCGAGACTCGAATAACGAGTCGTCTTTTTTTTCTTTCTTTTATTTTTTCCTTTTTTTTCTTTTTTTTTTGTTAAGCAACCACGTAACTACCAATTTCTTACCACTTATATTAAACGTACGATACTTCGGTATAATAAAAACAATGTACTTATCAGTAATACGAATGAAATATCTCTTAATGAGAAATACGTTTGAAAATTATACCAAAGTTTTATGCGAAATTCGCGATCTTTATTCTCCCTTTTTCGTTTCCATCTTCATCCATAGCGCCCAAAAAGGGGCGTAGGGTAGGATAGGGTAGGGTAGGTAGGTTGGTAGGTAGTCGTTCGTTTAAAATCATGACGCCGAGTGCGAAGGGTAGAGAAACGAGCTAGGCGTTAGCATTAACGTTAGGTGTGCGCCACACCAGTAGCAGCAGCAGCAGCAACCGAGGCCACCTCTACAAGAACTTCCTCCCACCCTCCCCCCTTTCCTCTTTCCCGTTTCCTGTTTCCCTCCCACAAAAGGTTTCTCTTTCTCGACCTCTGCAACGACGGCGACATATTGTTTCCATTCTCCTCTCTTCGGCTAAAGCGCAATAAAAAACTGGCATAAATATCGCCACCCTTGACGGGGCGGGGGTGTAGGGTGTGGGGTGAGGTGGGAAACGTACCAACCACCTTCCTTCAGTTTCGCCTTCGCAACAACCTCTACCGTTCTCACTTCTCCTATTCTCTCGGTGTTCTCGGTGTAAGAACTAAGAGATACCGACGAATGCGGTATCTGGTCTGGCGCGTATAAATACTACGAAATACCCTCCAAATTCTAGCGACTAATTTGTCTGAGTGGCTTTTTGGACTGTTACACGAAATAACTCCTAAAGTCCAGTTACTTCTTTCTTTATCTTCTACTCTCTTTCTCTCTATCTCTCGCTCATTTCAATTTGTTTTACATTTTCCCCAACTGTGGTCTAGTAATGAAAAATTATCGAACAGTATCGAAACTATTGAGATAATTTATTTCGACAGACTTTAAATGTTATTGTTGAGAAAAATATATTACACGTAGATACGAGCGATCAGCCGATTGAGACGAGTCGAAAGAAGCTACCTAGCTACCTGGGTTGGATTTTATTTGCGGAAAAATTAGCAAAGGATTTTACTTCGTAACGGACCGCTGATTAATAGACAACGAGTCTATAATATTTTTCCTTTTTTTGTCACATTATTTCATATAATCTGTATTAAGTATAAAGTGTTACTTTTTGTTCTCAATTCATCATATAAAATAATATTACAATGTTATTATCGGTAGTTTCTGTTTGAACTCTGTGCGAAATCGTCTGTAATTATTTAAATAAATACTGCGACTTCTCACCGCTTTATTTTCTATAATTATATTATATATATTTTATTTTATTGGTTATAATAATCTCTCTTTTTTATTTCTCGAGATACTTACAGCGTAACAGGTTCTTCAGGACTCGATGGGGAAATAGATAGCGACGTGGTTGCTGTCACGCATCTTAACGTATTTGGCGATCTTACACGATCATCCACCTGAAAACAAAAAAAAATAGTAATTGACATCGTAAATATTTCCTTTACGGAGGGACGTTTACACGTGCCACGGAAAAAGTTTCTATTAGGTCACGCGATAATTTCTATTTCAGTGAATAGAATAAAAAAGAGAGGAAAAGAAAAAAAAAAAAGAGAAAAAAAAAGAAAATAAAGAAGGCTCAGGCTGTGTTTTATCGTCGTCTGAATTCTTTTCGCGATCCTAGCCGTTTTCGATGGGGATCCGAGCAACAGGTACAGCAAACATGTCCTCCAGGCATCATGCTCGAAAGAGCACACACGTGATTTATGATATAAGTGAGTTATCGAAACACCTCTTTTCCTACCCTTCTGTGGTACGTTAACTGTGTTCACGAAAGTAAGAGAAGAAAATTTATTATTCGTAAGATAAATTTCTCAATGTTTATTGAAAATCCTTTTGTATTTTCAGGGCGGTGGAGGGGGGGGGGTTGGTGTGGTAGAAAGAAATTATTAAATATTATTTTTTCTTTTGGAGAAAATGGGATGTAAATAAAAATGATAATAATTGTATATACGTAGCTTAAAGTTGATATTATTGATATTATCGATAAATTCTCTTTTAAGAAACTGAAAATTATTTTTCTCGTCGTCTAAAAATATCCACGATTTTAAAGAGATTAATAATGACAGTGGAAATCCTCTAGGACGATCGTACTAGAGGGAAACAAAAAGTAGCCTCGGGCAAGTGGACTAAACTCACACCGACATCAATCTAAACGAACGAGTCTCTCTCGTCCCCCTAACGAGCCACCGAGTCATATAAATTTTATTGCTATTTCATAAATCCTCCCTACTAACGTGAATAACCACCATCAAGGAAACTCTCCGAGAGATTATCAGAAATGTATAAAGTTACGCGGAAATGTTATATACCCTGGGCCCAGTTACGATTTGATTCTATTGTTAAAAAAACTTAAGTTAAAAATTATTTTTTCTCTCCCACGAGAGAAAGAGAGAGAGAGAGACGATCGGAAAAAACGTTAAGATAATTATAATACGATTAAGAATAATTGTTTCTTTTGTTAATCACACATTGAAATAATATTGCCATACGAACGACTTCTGCAACGATTTTGGAAACATTTTCTTCTTCGTCTTCTTCTTCTTCTCAGTGTTCCTAGACTTTCCACGATTTCGAACGAAATTCTTAAAATCCTCCCTTCTCATTTCCTTCCTTCAAAAGCTCGTAGACCAAGGGGCTCTGATTTACATTTCTTTTTCTCGACGACATAAAAATTCCGCAACGATAACTTCCTTTGTTCAACCCTCTGCGGTCTTGGGTACGAACCAAACCCCTGCTGGCTTCGAGAGAGCTGCGGGGCGTCGTCGTAAGGCTCGTCTAGTTTTTCGTTTATATTACATTTTTCCTTAATTAAAGGTACCTCTTCTCATCGGGGGGCGGCGATGGGGAGGGGATGGGCGTGGGCAGGGGGAGGCAGGCGGAGGGGGGGGGTAAGAAGAACGAATTCGATCGAATATATAAATTTCGATACGAATGTTTTAAAACCAACCTTCTTATCTCAAAAATGATATTTCAATTCTAATAATAAGTAATCTTTCGATCAAATTCATCTACTCTCTCTCTCTCTCTCTCTCTCTCTCTCTCTCTCTCTCTCTCTCTCTGTTTCTATAAACGAAAAAAGATTTCGACAAAAGCTTTGATTTATCGAGTATCATTTACCCTAGAATTGAACACAGATTTCTTTCAATAATGCAAATCCATGGGTCTGATCATCGTTCGTTAGGTTTTGAGAATCGACAGATACTACTGCTGCGACCGGTGAGAGAATTTACAGAGAGAAAGAGAGAGAGAGAGAGGGAAAGAGTAAAAGAGATAGGAAGAGAGAAGTAGGATCGAAATGTAATTAAGAGAGCAAATAATCCGAGCTGAACAAACTCCGTGAAATGGATCAAAGAACTCGCGAACGAAAAAGGAAGGGGGGGAGCAAAATAGATGGAAGAAGGACGAACGTATATGTATACTATACGTATATATATATATATATATATACGCTGATAGAAAGGCGTGTCGGGGAAGGTACCAGGATGAACTACGAGAAATTCGCCCTCGTCCTGTCGTCGACCTGTCTAGCTTGAAGGAGTAGGGCAACGAGAGGTCTCGGCACAGACCCTCGATAAATATTTCCGTCAAGTGACCGGGGAGTGGAATTCAAAGAGAGTCGAAAGGTGGAATCGAGAGCGGACGGCCTACGTCCTTCTCTTTCTACGAAGGAAGGTTTGGGACTGCTAGAAGAGAAGAGGGGGGTGGTGGTATACAGATGAGAGATGGAAAGAGAGAGAGAGGGAGGAAGAGGGAAGAGGTTAGAGGCCAGTATATTTGCGTTACGTTACGTAGTTGCGCGTTTAATCAGCCGTGTACTCAGAAAAGGGCGCGTTTGAGGGAGAAAAAGGAAGAAAAGGGAAAGGGACGAGAACGAATGGAGGTGGAAGAAGTGAAAGAGTACCTACCCGTCGACTTGTGGATATCGAAGGAGGAAGAGGATGAGTCCAAAGGGTCTTCTCGTGCCTTTTGAGAGTACCGAAGAGACCGGACTCGGTTTTTATTGTCAAACTATCCTGTCGTCGTTGGGTGACTATAGGAACTCCGAATGAGTCTTCTCGTATAAAGCTAAGGGTAACTAATTTTTTAAACGGTCTGCTATATGGTGTCGTCTTTCGATGAATCGATTACGTGTTCTTATCGTTTATTCTTCTTTAGGAAAAAAGTGTAGTATTTCATTTGCAGAAATTGAAGAAAACGGGTGAAGTTTGAGAGTAAGAGAGAGAAAGAGAAAGTTTAAGTATATGCGAGTATGTGTGTGTGTGTGTATGTGTGCGAGCCTACGAAACGTCGATGGCGTGACAGATTGCCTCTAGTATTTTCCACCACATACATCATCGGCACCCGCCAGCCCCTTAGTTCTACTTCACTGCTCACCGTTGCCATCTCTCTTAATTGGCATCGCCTACCAATCTACCTGCTGCTTTACCGTTCAGAAAATTTTACCGAAGCGTATTTTTTTGTTCAGTATGATATATATATGTAAAATCGATCCGCCGATCCTTCCTACGGAAGAACAGAAAATTTCGATTACTTTTGAAAATATTTTCTTATTTCTCAATAAGATTATCTCTATGCAATGTTATATAATATAAGAGATTTAAGAAACTTTCTTTCTCGATATTCGCGTACGTAGATAAATATATCGATAAAATATAAAAAAGAAAAAAAAAAAACAAAGAACGAAGAAGAAGGGTCAGTGACAAAGTGTAAACCGCACTTTCATCGTCAGGGATACGATTAGGGAAAAAATCGTGTTGTTTTAAGGGGAAGTGAAAATTAAATACCGCGGTGTGTCCAACCCCATAGGTCCGGTCACCTAATAATTCATACGAGGAATGTAAAAAGGGCTGGCCCTTTTTTCCCCGAGCACGCTAGGACGAGAGAGAGAGAGAGAGAAAGTGAGAAAACTAAAAAAAAAAGAAAAGGGGGTAGAAAAATACGGGCTCGTATTTATCTTGAGATTTGTAACCGCCTTGGTCTCGATATTTATTGGCCCTTTTTATCAGATAGGGATATTTCTATAGTTTGACAGACCATTCAACTTTATTATGTTCTTTTTCTTTCTCTCTGTATTCGCAGTGAAACGATCAAATGCATTTGTTGAGAAGTTAGTTAAACAAAATGAATTAATATTGAATGAACAATTAACGCTAAAGAAATTCTTTTGGAAATATTCCTACAACGGGTAATACTTGCCAGCAAATGAAACGGTGTTAACGTTCTTAGGAAGGGTAGGCTGGCAAGGAACGTGTCTCATCGTGGTAAATACATAAAGAAGGATCTGGAGTGCGCGTAGTCCTCCGTAAGGGTGCACCTACGGCCTAACTACCTACCAACCGAGGTCATATTTGGGATTACGGAGACGGCGGTTGCAGCCTCTCAAGGATGATAGTTGCGAGCGTAGAAGAGCTGCCTTGCTAAACCCAGCCCCATTATCTTAACAAATCTAATCTCGCGGTGGGTGTTTATAAATGTCTTGTTTTCCGCAGAAGGCAGGATGGCAGACGGAGGAAAGGAAAGGACGAAAGGACGAAGTGGGAGTAGTGAGCTTGCCTGGATTTTCTCAACCCCTCGTTACCAGAACTTGGAAATACAGTTGCACTTCTTGAATCCGGAATATTCTAATGTGTGTATCTTTTTCTTTTCTTTTTTTCACATCTTCTTTTATATATTATTTATATTTCGTAAATCTTACGAATGTTAAAAATATATTTGTATGATTATAGTTGAAGTTAAAGTATCGTTCAAATGTATGATATTATATGATTTTGTATTTGAACTGTTTACAATAAAATAAATAAAAGAAAATCAAAAGAAAAGATTGACACACATTGAGAAATCATTGCTCGTTATATAAAAGTTCCAAATTGTTTTGAGATTTTTACTTTCGCGTTAAGAAATAATCAAATTTTCCTATTTAATATGGTGCTGTTCGCGAGTAACTCTTTCGCTTTAAATTTTCATTCGAATCTTGCACGAGTAGGAGGAGGAGGAGGAGGAGGAGGAGGTTACATCAGAGACTTGTTTCGTCCTCGAAGCTAAGGTTGAGGCTCTATTCCATCCTAACTCGTCTCGAGCGTAATTTGCACACAAAGTGCTGAGGAGGAGTAGTACTATGCGGGGTGCCAGTACCGCGGGTATATGTATATGTATGTTATATACACATTGTACCCGAAGACATTATGCTAACACCCTTCCACGTGAACAACCATTTACTTCGCACGGTTATTAAAAATGTGCGTTTATAATGTTACTCCGCGTTACTCCAAATAAAAATCCTGATTTTCTAAATACTATTAAAAAGATAAATCGGAAATATAATACTATATAAAGGGAGGGAAAAACAAAATGTATACAAGCATTATGCCATCTTGATATATCATACGTGCGTGAATGT